TTGAGAGAAATACTAGTAGCAAAATAGGTATTGATAAAATATGCTGGAAATGAAATACATTTCAGACATGCAGTCTATTAATCTCTTGTCATGTCTGTTTACTATTTTCCAACATTTTCCTGTGAGTCTGAATACCACGTTTCCCTGTATTTGGTTGCATTTTGGAGTGAGCAGAGAGGAGGTAATTGCAAAAATAATTTGGTTTTAAAAACAAGGAAATGGTTTCTGTTGGTCCCCTGTAGACATCTTTCCAAGTGTTTCAGTCATTATATTTCCTCCTTGCTGCCCCTGTGTTGGAATATCGTCATTGTATCACACAGTGCCACCAAATTATATGGCACGTTTATATGGAAGTCAAGTGAGCACAAAACTGAATTTATATCTCCTAAATATCACCTGCTTTTATATGTGGCTCTAAAGTTCCCTGACAGATCTGGCTTCTCAGGATAATAAAAAGTCAACCTAGATCTGACCTTATCCTTAGGTAAGATGGGAAGAACCCCAAACTATTTGGAGGACCTGAATCCTAATCCCAGCTCTGCCACTCAACTAGCTGAGTCATGGTGGACATGGCCTTTCCTATTCCTTTCAGCTCTAACATTCTGTCGGGTTTTGGGGTTTTGGTTTTTGGGTTTTTTTGGTATTTCACTTAGCTGCACATAAAACTAACAACACCGTAAAGATACATCAATCAGCAAAAGCCTGCTGTTGTTTTGGGGACATGCTAACTTCCTCGTAACAGGCAGAGAGGATTTCTCGCAGAGTAGGCTCTACAACTCAAAGGGTATACCATCTCTTTCGGGAAAGCCACTACCTAGGACTGGAATTATTTTTCGGTTAAATATTTTGTACTTTTTCTTCTTTGTGTGTTGGAAGTTTAGGGCTAAAAATGTTCCTATTTTGGTACTGACACAGGCACAGGGAATCAGATTCTTCCTAAGTGTCTTTTTTTCCCTCAGGCAGTACAGGAGGAATAGTAACTTTTAGGAAGCATTACAGACTTACGGAAGGAATGTAAACTTTGGAGTCGGGCTCACCCTTACTCTATCACTTACTAGCTGCATGACCTTAAGTGAGTTATTTAACCTCTCTTAACCTCAGTCTCTTCACCTGGTTGTAAGAGTTAATGACTTGATGTATGCAAAGCTGTAAGACAGAGTTAAAGACACCTGCTCAGACATGCTCTCAGAGGGAGATGTTATTAGGGCCCATGTAGCATCTATGCTCATCCTTCAAAGGCTCAAATGGCACTATTTCAGTGCCTTGTCTCTGGAGTTCTGATCTTGGGAAATAGAACGGAGTTATATCTTGTGACCATTTTGTCTCGCCTGCATTGAAGTAATCTCAGTAACTTCTCATGGATCTGAAAAACAAGCTAAGAGGACTCAAGCTGCTGACTGGCACTGGCCATCAGCAAAAAGAAAAGCAACATTTATTTGAAAGATTATATGAGCATCCACACATTGGGAAATGACATTTTAGGAAGAAACTTTGTCCACACTGGGGGATTATTTAGTTGACTTAACACAAACATTCACTCTGCTCCCTATTCCCCCCTACACCGAACACCCATGTTCATTTGATATTTTTATAAAGATTTTAAAAATAGTTGTTCTAGCACATAAGTTAAAACTTGGCCTTTACAAATGTAATTATTTTGCCTTGCAGAATATTCAGAAAAGGTTCTGCTTCCTAACCTGTGATGCAGCCAGTTACCTTGGAGATAACCTCCGGGGAATCGGATCCAAGTTTGTCAGCTCTTCCCAGATGCTCACCTCCTGCTCTGAATGCCCAACACTTTTCGTGGATGCCGAGACCGTGAGTATCCCAGTCCTGCCGTGCTGGCGAGTGCCCTGCCCAGCTTCTGCTGTGGAACTTCAGGGAAGCTTCTTTGTGTTGTGGTTTGTTTTAAAGACAGTTTCAGTGTTTGCAAGCAGCGCTGTGTTGTGATATGACTCCTAAAGGCCTGAGTCTGCACTGTAATGACAGTACATTGCCAGCCCAGGCCAAGCAAAGTCATTTCAGAGAATCAGGAGAAAAATCCACCTCTGTGCTCCCTCCGTGTCCTTGGCACCTCTCTTCAATGACTCTGACTTTGACAGCTGTGAATATGGTGAGCTAACCACCCAGAGCTGACCTGGCCAGTCCCCGCCATGCCAGGTTGGCCAGCCAGATGGGTCTCCAGGGACAACATGTCATCACTTTCCCCACTCCCAAGTCTCAAATAGAGACTGATTGCCCTCTGGATAGATTCATCCAGCCCAAACTGCAAATGATGACTTTAAAGGATGACTAAAACAGTCTCTGGCTGACCGCTGAGTCCTGACTTTATGAATATAACTCTAACCCTGCAAGACTCAGGAGAGCTCTTTGAGGGCAGAGGTGTGTGTTGCCTTTCTTTACATCCCCCATGCATATCACAGATAGGCATCTCATCTCATACCAAGGTTCAGAACCAATGAGGATGTGCTTTGATTTTAAAGGCTTCTGAAGAGCCAGTCTTTCTAAGAACTTGATTGATAGTTGAATGACTTGCAGCAATGAATACAGTACAAGAAATCATTCTATCTTAAGTGATTTAAAGTACAGATTAAATACAAAGTCAGTTTGAAAATCTATTTGGAGATCTGTCTCCACACTGCTTGGAGTCTTACTAGATGAAGATACTAGAGTTTATGCATAAAATGGATATATCTTTATGTGGGCTCCTATGGGCTACTTAAGATTTGTCTGTCTATACTGATATGGGAAAACATGAATGTTTTTATAGGATATTTGGATTAGCAAACTAGTATTCGATGGCAATTGCAGCTGAGAGTGGAGCAAAATTACAAATTTCACAGCTTATTTAAATGGATGCCATCGCTCTCTACTTTACACTAGTTCTAAATATACTTCTCTATTTGTGTAGCCATGCCTTTGTCTTGGTATCTCTCTAGTTGTTTTAATACAAATTATTTTCCTATCTTTAGCTCCTTTCTTGTGGACTTCTGGACAAGCTCAAGTTCAGTGTTTTGGAACTGCAAGAATATTTGGATACCTACAACAACAGAAAAGAGGCCACTCTCTCAGTAAGCTTTCGTGTTTCTGTGCATATATGTTCAGTTAAAACTGAATGAACCCAAACACTGTGAGCTCCTGGGACATGTTGTGAATAACCTAAGAGGGGCTCTTTTGCAAGTAGAAGACAGACTTCATCTATTCTTCAAGAGATTTTAATTCCAATTTAATTGTCAACTGTATGGACTATATAAAAATGACATCTACAAAGAGAAATTTTTCAGCTTTCATTTTTAGCCTCATAATTTCCCTACTAAGAAACTGAGAAAAGTGTGTATCTGCTTGATATGTCACTTTATCAATGTTCTAACTTTTCTTTTCTTGGAGACTTAAAGTTATTAATTACTTCCTTCCAGTGTCAGCCTCACCCCAAACTAGTTGAGATGGATTTCACCTCTCTCCTCTTAACCACTCTTGGTAGCTGTTTCTCCCTGTCCCCACAGCTTCTCTTGGCCTCAGTTCCTGCTCTTTACTTTTTTCTTTCTTCAAAGTTCTAGACTGTAAAATATTCGAGACAGAAGTGATCCAGACACCATCCACGCAAACCCCTTGATATCCAACAAATATGTGTGCAGTATCTTTGGAGCACTTCCTATAATGTGCCAGGCACTAGAGAAAGAGGATTTTGAAGTCAGACAGACTTGGGTTCAAATCGCAGCTCAGTTACTTAAGGGTTAGTGACCTTGAATAAATTATTTACCTTCTCTCATCTCAGACTCATCTATAAGACATTAATAATAGTAATTTGCAAAATTGTTTGAAGGATATAACGATTATAATAGGCATAGCAGCTTTCATTTCCTGAGTCCTTTCTATGTGTCCAACAAGCTGATAAGAGTTAAATCTCTTAAATTAAATCATTTAATGCTCAGAACTACCCTGGGAGTTGCTATTATTATCCCCATTAGCAAGAAGGTAAAGAATGGTATTGAAACCCAGGTCTGTGGGATTCAAAGGTCCATGCTCTCAAACAACACAATGTTGCCTTTAAAATAGAAATAACATACGTAAACTGCCCAGCACAGTGCCTGATACATAGAAGACATTCATTGTGAAGTTACTGGTGTTTTGTTTACTGCTATTGATCTTCTCATGACCTGTCCTAGGACAAGAGTCCTAACATTCTACTTTAACAATTCTCTTTGTCTTCTATTTCTGTCGCTCTTTCCCTATCACTGTTTTCCAGGTTCTCAGTCGTGAGCTAATAAAAGTAATCCTTTCATTTTCGTTGGCAAACGAACCAGTCTTTCAATGTCAGGTGTGAATTTTAGTTCTTCAGTGCTTATTGTTTTCTGCCCAAAGGTTCCTTTTCACATCTGTATTAGTTACTATCCCAGATCCTTAAGACTGGCAGAATCTCTAAAGCTGAGCTATTTTTATAATAGCCTTTCTTACAGTGAAGTAGACCTGCCCCATAGAAGCCACCTCTACCTAACAGAGAGGTAGGTGTGCCATGAGTCAGCTTGCATTGTCCAGAGTCACCCAGTCCACAAGGAAGTGCTGGTCCTATCTCCTAACCTCAGTCATATGAAAGCTTTCTAAGCATATATGAATTTGTTTTAATTTACACATAAATTAGGGATAGTCAGGTGAAACCATTCTTTGGGATGATATATCACAATGTTGAAATTATATTTTCCAGTAACCATCATTGAACCCATATAAACAGATATTTTAATTTCAAATTGTTAATCTTTAACCAAAAAAATGATTTTCAAAAAGTCATTATAGCAAAATTTTATTTTATTGTGTTGAGAAACTTAATTGATTTTCCCTAAGAAGTGATGATAAAAATGTTCTCAGGACATCACTGAATTTACACCTACGTCTGTATCTCTTTCTGACAACAGTGGCTTGCAAATTGTAAGGCAACATTTGCAGGAGGATCAAGAGATGGAGTAATTACCTGTCAACCGGGGGACTCAGAAGAAAAGGTAATAAAAGCCTGTTAGAATTTATCTTTTCTGTGCTCTGACATTGTGTGTTGGTTTTGATCCATCCAAGAAGCATGGAACTTAAGAAAGGAAGAGGCAGAATGAGTCATCCCATACATTCACATGACACCAATAGAGTAAGATGGAATGACGTTCAAGCCAAGCATGACTGTGTGTTGATGGGATTTGGGGGGGTTTTCTTCTTTTTGGAAAAGTAGAGGTATAAAAATAACCTTTCTGCTGGACACTAACTATACTAATCATTTCCTAATAAATCTGTTCTTCATTCAGAATATAAAACCAAATTTCATTAATTCTTCACTGAACCACTTAGTTCCTTCAATGAAGAAAGTCTTTATTGATCTTTCAGCAATTGCTCTAAAACAGATTATTTTTTTCCTCATTTACAATTGCTTTAAGTACACACCTCAGACCAGCTGGCTTGTAAATGTATGCCACATTGTACAGGAAATCAGGCAGAAGAGTTGCACAGATTAAAATCATTCATTCTGCAGTTACGTACTGAGTGCCTCCTGTGTGCCCATATGGTGGACACAACAGTGAACCACAGACGGGCCTCTGCCCTCGGGGAGCATCTGATCTTGTCAGGGAGACAGACATTGATCAAAAAACCATACAGGTATAAACTGCTCTAAGTGCCAGGAAGGAAAGGAAAGAAGAGTAAGCTATGAAAGAAGATAGCAAGAGAACCTGATCATATGCGGAGGCTGGTTCTGGGAAAGGCTTCTCCGTGGAAGTGTCATCTGAGCGAAGATGTCAAACATGAGGTCGAGTTAGCTGAGTGAAGAGGAGTGGGTAGAGAGCCTGTGTAAAGGCCCCGAGGCAGGAGGGAACCTAGACCTTTGCAAGAACTGAAGAGAGCTCAAGAGAGAGGCGTAAAGTGACATAGAGAAAAATTTGAGAAGAGTCTAGACAAGCTAGCAGAAGCCAGACCCTGCCAAACTTGAGTGTTTATCTTAGCAGCAATGGCACGCAATGGAAAAGTGTTAACAGGTGGGTATGATTAGATGATGGTTCTCCCACTCTACTATGGAAACAGGCAAGAGTGGATTAGGGAAGACAGGAGGCTGCTGCCTGATCTAGGTGCAGAAGGTATTACCTTGGAATTACATCATCACTACTGGAAAAGCATTTCAGATTGTGCACTCTTCAGAGGATGCGAAGTCATCTTCAAGGTGGGCCTTGAGGAGAAATGATGGTGTCACTCCACTTAAATACTGATCTTATGTCCAGAGTTGGTGGAGATAATATTTTGCTGATTAGAGCTACCATTTGGCTTCTGTCCCAAAGCAAAACTCAACAAATGTTTGACCTCAGAACACTGCTTATCCTCAAGTGATTCTCTCCAACTCTTTTTTTTAAAATCAGGTTCTCTGTCTTCTGGAATAGTTTGATGTTGCCAGTTATTCTGGGCATCCTTTGCATGGGGACAAGAGAACAGAGGATAGGAAGTGAACTTATAACTTGAAGAATCTATGTCTGGATGTAAATTGCAAAGTTAACATGCCAATAATTATTACACATGTATTCTATTTCAGAGAAGTATGTACTTTATGAAAGGATTAGAACTTACCTTACTAAACCTAGCAAAGTTAATTCTTGAGTAGTTAGAGATATCAGTCTGCCAGAGATGAGGACGGGGCACCAACAAGCATGTGAAGTCTTCCCACCCCCAAGCCCTACCCAGTCTGCTCTGGTCTTTGCCAGTAGCTGATTTCTCCTCATTCTTAACACGTGACGTAAGTGAGAAATTGCTGTGGAATTGTTTGTGGAAGAGAATATAACTCTTTGCTGGGTGTTGAATATTTATTTTTTCTTCTGTTTTCAACATGAAGTTGTATGACATCAAATTAGTGAAGAAAGGTTACACACTGGTGGCTTGTAAGCTGTAACCAATTCACAGACATGTTTTATTAAGCTTGTATAGTATTTTTTTAATTGACCCAACATTTAAAAATTAAAATTGTTCACACATACACTCAAAACAGGATGTCTGATGTCTCTGAAAAAGAGCTAGCAACTCTGGGCCTGCCTTCCTAAGTGGCAACTATGACCTAGAGCTGAATGTCGGCCGCCCCTAAGGGCTGCTCTCTATCGTCCTCACTGCACACTGAGTTCCTAAGACTGAAGGCAAGAGCAAGGTGCCAATCATTACGATGCTTGGACTGTTGTTTTTCTTTTTTCCTTTTTTTTTTTTTGATTGGCAACAGATGTTAGCTCAGGTGCCAATCTTCCTTTTTTTTTTTTTCCTTCCTTCTTCTCCCCAAAAGCCCCCCAGTACATACTTGTATGTTCTAGTTGTGAGTTCCTCTGGTTGTGCTGTGTGGGACACCACCTCAGCATGGTCTGAGGAGCGATGCCATGTCCGAGCCCAGGATCCGAACTGGCAAAACCCCAGGCCACTAAAGCAGAGCACACAAACTTAACTACTTGGCCACGGGGCCAGCCCCTGTTGCTTCTCTTATAATAGAAAAATGTGTCTCTGTACCTAAGCCCCAAAATAAGGAAGTGAAAGCTAGATAGAGAGGGCTGTATGTTTCAAGAAAAACGGGAGTGTTATTCTTTGCCTATGTGAGAAATGTCTCTCTGTATTTAAGATCCAAGCACCTATCTACTGAACTTGCTCACTGAGCAGTGTGTTGGAGGAGCAGTCTCAATGCATGTACAAAACAATAAAACAAATGGTGTTTCTAAGAAAAGTGCTTCGAATACTTGGGAAGTATTTTTGAGGGAAGGCTTTTTTTAAAAGACAGGCATGATTAGTAAGTGATTTAGGCTTCTTGGTGATTACAGTACCAATTCTCCTAGAATAAGGCATGGCATACACTCAATAGAACATAAAACAAGGATTATGAGTTGTGTGTGTCTGACTCATTTGGAGACACTGCTTTTCCAGTGTTTTCTCAGTCCCCGCCTATCAAGAGAGAGAAATCTCTTCACGACTCAGAATCAGCACTTCTAATTGAGGGTTTTGGTTTCCACTGACCTCTCCATCTCCTGTGGAATTCGTTCTGGAGTGGCCACTACAAGGTAGTTTAAGTTAACGGAAAATCAGGTCTCGGAAAATGTCCCCAGTTCTGCAGAGCTGGCCCTGGGAAAGCTGGAGATGATTTTATACCTAAAATCATCTCATTTGTTCTAAGTGATTTTAGTTGACACACTCATAATTCTACAAATCTTTATGAGCACTACTTGAACATTTGACTCATTGGACTCAAGTCCAATAATTTACATTTAGCCCTACTACATTTTATCTTATTCATCATTCCAACTATTAGGGTCTTTTTGGACACTAACCCTCTCAGTTACGTATTTCCTAACCCTGCATAATCCATGAATGAGAAACCTGAAACCTCTATTCTTATACAAATTGAACAAGTTAAATGTTGAGCAAGACAAGACAGATCTCCAGTTAAATTACAATCCATTCAACATCATCCTTCAGATATAGTCAATCAGTCTTCCATAAGAAATCCTCTTTTCTATATTGACTAAAGAAATGTCTCCTGAAGTTAAAGTTTCCTTGAAAATAGACAACACCTCAGGCTGTGTAAGCTGTATCATAGGCTTAAAGGTATTTATCTTTCAAAGCTTTGAAAGATATTCATGGCCAAGGTCCAAAAAAACAAATCAACAAACGTAATACAATAGTTATCAATGCGCCAGACCCAAGGGATATTAGCAACAGGTGAGTACATCTTGTTCATACCTGCTTAGGAGATTACATGCATCTATGTATCATTGAGTAGGGAAGCTTCACATGAGGCTACATTATCTAATTCTATCCCATTTAGCTTAAACCAGTGACTTTCAGAGATTAAACATGATAAAAACAATAGCTAATATAGTATACTGTGGCTCATCTTGTGTTGAAAATTTCTCAGATTTATACCTACTGGCTATGTCATAAGCAAAGAACTCATTTCAGAGCAGAATACAGAGAAAAAAGAATGGCTATGCTACTGTTAATGAACAAGAATTAGATTATTCTGGGCTTTTAAGCTACCCTGTCTATGATCGGTTCTTAACATCTTAGTTTCTTGATCCTTTTTTCTCATTTGGAGAAAACATACCTCTAAATCCAATTTATAAATCAACCCATACTAGGAGTGCAGGAACAGGGCTTGAGGAAAATTCTTGTGACCCAATAAAACAGTGACATTCCCATAACATTTTCAAAAGAACTTTAAGTCACCCAAACATAGATGAGTCTATAAAGATGTCCAAAGGGATTATTTTTAAAGGCTGGATATAGAAAAAACATTAGCATAGTAGGGAAAAAAGTTTTAACATTTTCCATAAAATGGCCCCCTAGAAAGGCATTTTTCACTGTGTTTTTGGAGCTCTAAGTACAAACGAGGTCCCAGCCTGTGGTCCTGGAAAAGATTCTGAGATAATAAATATCAAGGCAGCTTGGATTAACCTACCGAAAAAGGAGAGTTTAAGAAGGACACCGAGAACTGGTGTGTGTCAAGTTGGCCATCTCCCAAGAAACACAATTTTATGCCCTGAGAGCTGAGTGGGAGGAATTCATTGACAATGAAATTCCTTAGCACCAAGCTGGAGTCAAAAAGTCTCATTTGCCTTTATTGAACAGAGAAGATTTTGCTTTAACTGATTTGATGACCTCCTTGGATTACAACCTTGTTTTGGAAAACAGTAGAAAGATAGCAGTTTTCTTCACACAAGACCATGTAATTTACTTAGCACTTGCTTCATTCCATGCTTCTGAAAAGTAAATTCCATGGTAGAAGCAGTTACATGCTAAAGTGCATACTAAATATTTCAATCACATTTCACATTTTCTAAAAAGTCTTCATGGTGGAAATTCTGTATAGAGAGACTTAAGACTGGCCCTGTGCTCCTTTCTGGTGTGACACTGCATTTCAGTACATAAGGTTTGGTTATAAAAACTTCTAGGCATAAAGTTTTCTTGAAAATAGTGCATATCTTGGGTTGTGTAATCTATATCACAGGCTTAAAGGTATTTATCTTTCAAAGCTTTGAAAGATATTCATGGCCAGCCCCAAAAAAACCACTCAATAAACATAATACAGTAATCATCAATGTGCCAAACCCACATGATATTAGTAAAAAGTGAGGCAAGAAGAGACCCTTGGAGGACAGGGGCAGGGTTAGGGCTGGGGGCTGGTAGTGGTGATGCTTTATATTTGAAGACATTAAGAAATAATGTGATAGTTTTATTTTTTTATGCACTGTACCTTATGTACCTTAAGTACACTACATTAAACTGATGATAACCCAGAGATTTTTTGGAAAGGGCTTTAATAGAAGGGTTGTTTGTTGTCAAGGACTAGAAAATGAGTTAGATACGTCCTTAAATATTTTGAAAATCAATAACCAGATACACTGACCCATAATTAGGAATGGCCAAATTGATTTCTGTTTCAATATTCTGTCAGGTTGTGGTTCTCTCTCTCCACATAGCCACACTTTCCTTACACCAATTGTATGGTTATGAAATGGTGACACCAAAAAATGGTAGCCATGGTTGAACATGGCCCAGTTACAAATTTATATTATTCAAGACTAACCATCACTTTTAGATTACTTCTAAAAATTGGCTGAGAAAAAAAAATTACTTGTCATATCTCACAATTGTTTGGAAGTATACAGAAACTATTTAGCCCTTTGAAATGACAATATCTAGCAGCTCTATAAAATATTCTCAATGTGGAAGGCAATCTAACTCTAAAATAAACGCCACTTATGATTGTTAATTCTGTTCTGTTAACTGGATAGTAATAGTTTAGTAGAAATGAAGCCTAACATATTAAAGACTCTGCCATAACTAACATTTAGCAATAATGTAATTACTCAGTTGGTCTCCTCACAGTTTTACTATGTTCGCATATTATTCACATTTAAACACTAAAATCTTCAAGCAATAAAAGTTTTGACTTCTGGTCTCCAAGACTGACAAAAACCTAAAGCAACTAATCAGAGAATCTAAAAGATTATAAATTGTATTTTTCAATGTTTCCCATTAGAGCTTGTTTTTAACTGGACTGCTGTGCATGTTGAATGGGTACAACACTTGCAACCATTTATCAAGTTTGGGCAAGCAATGCTAATACTGCTGATGGTTCTGCTCTTGGAAGAGGGCCGTGCTTTCTGTTGCATGCATTACACTGACCCTGTACTTTCTTTCCTTTCCTTTGTTTCCTGTGCCATGCTTGCTGTGTAGCAAATGGAATCTCTTGCAGTAAGTTAACTTTCTTTCATACTCTTTGTCCATTTAGGCATGGACCCATAACAAATCTTATTTTTACTGTTACTATTATATCTCTTAGCATGTTTTCCCTTTTTGTTTCATTGTATTTTTTTTTTTTTTTTTTTTTTGGTAGACTGAGACATGCAGTTTATTAGTAGCATCTGGGCTGCTTTTGTCCCACA